AAAAGCCTGAGAGCATCCATCACTCCGGGTTTGGCTGAATTGTTTCTGCCCTCGCATTTCAGGCACCCATTTTCTGTCTTACTGCAGAATTCAGCCATTTGTTTTCATTTCAGGCAGAGAGAGGCTTGGCAGCCAGGTGCTCCCATTGGGATATTGTGCTGAACGTGCTGCCAACCAGCCTGTCGTTCCCTTGGTTTCCAAAAGCCACTGTTTCCCTTCTCTACCATCCTGGAAGCCCAAGAGAAATGTATTTCTGTGGCATTCATGCCACCTCCGTGTTGCTGGAGCTGCTGATCTTCCCTTGGTGCCATGGTAGTGCAGCACGGAGCATGGTGTACCAATATGACAAGTTGCACACCAAAGTTCTCCCCTTGCATTGATTTCATGGCCTCAGATGGCAGTGCAAAATTAGTTTTAATACACAGGGCCCAAGAAACAAGAAGAAGAGAAGTGGCAGTGTGTCTGCCAGGTTTGTAAGGCTGCATGTTGTGAGTTCCAGGAGTTGCCTGGATACAGCCATCACCCACACAGGTCCTTTAGAAATTTAGACATAACTTGAGGGTTATTGCTGATAGAATTAGCTTTCTGCAGGGCTTTTGTCAACAACTGCCATCCTTTGAGATGGCCTTGCTCTTTTGTGGAATGAGCCTGATCCTGTAGCAAAGCTTAAAGCAATTGGGATAATGATCTTAATGACTGGGATTTGGGATTGGGATTTTTGGATGCTGAGGGATCCTGTTCTCTGGGTGGCTGGGAGCTGTGCTGGGAGCTCCCCTCCTGCCAGCTGTGCTTGCTGGGATGGGGAGCTGAGCTGCTGGAGCCACGGACAGGAAAACAAAAGCTGGCAGAGCTGCCGCCTGGCTGAGCTGAGTTAATTGCGTTCACTTCTTCAGCCCAGTCGGGGCTCTAACAGCAAATGTTCTACCTCATTAGAAATAATAACTTGTAGTTAATAACTTATAATATGGCAGATAGATGCCTTTTGCTGCGAGTGATAGCGCTCGCTTCAGACAGTGCAAATGATGAAAGGAAAAGGCATGGTTATTAAAAAGATGCCTTCAGATAAATCTCAAGGTTCACCAATTTAACCCATGCTTGGCTTGGACAGCAGCTCTGCTGTACTTTATTCAAGGGCAGTGATGGAAAATGTTCGGAGATGTGCATGGCTAGGCTGTCCCACTGTGACCAGATGAGCATGGAGCACGTACATGGGGGCTGGCATCCCATAGAGTTCAGCTCTGCAGCCCCTGGCATCTGCAGTGGTGGAGGAGCAGGGGGCTGGGTGCTGCACATCATTGCATGGCTGCTGGGGTGGAACAGGAGGAAGTTGTTATAGGAGAAAGTTTTTCACATACAGGGTGGTGAGACACTGGCACAGGCTGCCCAAGGAGGCTGTGGATGCCCCATCCCTGCAGGCACTCAAGGCCAGGCTGGATGTGGCTCTGGGCAGCCTGGGCTGCTGGTTGGTGACCTGCACACAGCAGGGGGTTGGAACTGGGTGAGCACTGTGGGCCTTTTCAACCCAGGCCACTCTATAATTCTATGATGGTTCTATGAACATGTGTGGCACTGTCAGCACAGGCAGGAGTAGGAATGGCGGCTCCCGCTTCTGGTGGAAGCACTGCAGGACAGTCTTAGGTGAGGTGGTCCAAAATGCTCAGGATTTTGGCATGCAGTGTATCAGCCAAAATAACATGTTTTGCTAGCAGAAGAGCAGCTCCTGTTTGGAAATTTCTTCCCTCTGGCGCTGTGAACAATGTTATTGCATCTTGTGTTGGTTTTTTGTTTTTGTTTTTAATAATAGAGGGTTTTCTTATTGGACACTTGTTCCTACTTTTCAGGTACATTATTATGATTTTTATTCAGCTAGAGCTTAGTTAATGTGCACTGCAATCAGCGGCTGCTAACAGCCCTGAAGAGCACTTTGTGGTGGAAGCCCACGTTTGGAGTGATAAACAATGCTCATCTCAGCCTTTTCCTTTGACAAACGGATGGCTGCGCAGCATTTGGAGAGTTTATTCCAAAAGAGAGCTTAAATTTTATACTGCAAATGAATATTAATAATAGACAAGTTGGTAGAAATATAAGCAGCCCATTAACATGATGAAGGCATGGAAAGAACTGTCAGTATCATACCTGCTGATGGATAACTCCTTGGGGAAAAAGAAGAATCTGTAATGATGGAGCAGTTGATTTTTAGAGGTCTTTTTCAACAGTGGTGGCTCTATGAACAGAGAGAGAGCAGAACATGAGCATGGTGCTGGGACCTGGTAGATTTGGTGGGAGCAGAAGGAGCTGCACCTGCTGTAAGATGGCAGGGCTGCTCACAGCAGAGCATAGATTAAGTATGGAGACATAGAAAACAGTACAGTGGTGGCTGTTCAGATAGGCTGTCACCTGCAGTAGTGCTCCTATGGGAAAGCCTGGAAATAATACTGCTTTGAGTTTTGGTGTTCTCCCCTTTGGATGTGCTGTTTGAGCTGAAGTTCATCATGAAGCAAGGAGGAAGGTGAGGTTCCCTGCTGTGCTCTATTTGGTGCCATGCCCTCCCATCTCTTGCTGTTGGAGTTTGACTCTTGCTGTTGGTGGCACAGAAATAGCTTTTCCATAGCTGGCATGTATTGAGTATGGGCTGACTGCTTGCAAAGAGGCACTGCCACACTCTAGGATTCTGCCGTAAAGAGCAAGGGAGGGAGAGCAGAGCAATGCAGTGGAACTGAAGGAAAATCTGAGAACCGATTTCTTGCCCAGTGCCTTAACAGAGCACGTTCAGCACCTCCTAGCATCTTCTGCTGAGCTTGACAATTATTCCTGGTGCTGACAAGCGTATCAGTAGCTGCAGCTCCTCTGGGGGACTGCTGAGTAATTTGCAACCTTGGGTTTGTTAGTGAATAGGACGCATTGAACTTGAAGAAAAATGATACACCTGCAAATATTCCTCTCTCAGATGAGCTTCCATAGGGTTACATTGATGCAATAAAACATGGATTTTCTTGCAGAAGAGCCCTGCTGCATGCGGCAGCCTGGAGCATGGAGGGTCAGGTTGGGTATTAGGAAACATTTCTTCTCCAAAGAGCAGTCAGGCAGTGGCACAGCTGCACAGGGAGTGGGAGGTCACCATCCCTGGGGGTGTCCCCGAGCTGTGGGGATGTGGCACTGAGGGATGTGGGCATGGGGGGGGCGGGCACGCACCGGACTTGGGGGGGTTCTCAGGTCTTTTCCAACCTGAGATTCCAGGTCTTTTCCAATCAGTGATTCCATGGTTCTGTGATTCTATGATCCTGTGATGCAGCTCTGCAGCGCAGGTCCAACTTTGTATACCATCAGCATAGTTACATTGTCCTTCTCCAACCGTCCTAGAAGAGCTCTGGATTTGAAGTCATTTGCCATCTAAAGCACAGGTCATGGAGTCAAGCAGCCCTTGCTCTGTGGGCAGCTCTGAGTGCTGCTCTGCCATGTGCGCGCGTTGCTGGAAGCACTCTGTCCTAATGAAGGCTCCCTTGGGGTCAGGTCTAGGGGAGCAGAAGGGAAAGGGCCATGCTTTCCCTGTGAAAATTCAGCTAATGAACTGCTGCAGGATAAAGGCTGCAGATGGCAGAATTACTCACTGTAATTACCTTCTTTTTGGTAAAAACGGTGGATTTTTTTCTAAACCCATTACACACACGTTTGCTTCCACTTCGTAAAGAAAATAGAAACAAAATAGAAAAAGCATCATGAGGTGTAAAGTATTGTCCTGTTGGTGACAGCAGGGATGGGCTGGGCTTGAAAGTCGCACTAGCAGCGGTATTTAGAAGCACTGTGGGCAGTGAGGTTTGCATCCAGGGCAAAACCTTACTTTCATCCCGATAGTGGTAACATGAAGCATAATGTTTTCCTTCTCTGGCTGTGTGTCATCAGATGTATATTCGTGCCCCACTCCCCTTTCCTACAGCCCTGGTAGTGTTTTTCACGTGCTTTCCAAAGTTTCCTTTCACTTGCTCCTGACTTAAAGGCACTGCTGCCAACCAGGCAGAGTGTGTGATTGTCCGGGCAGATTTAACGTTCTGAGAATAAAATGTCCTTTTGTCAGCTTGTTATATCAGGAGTTGGACTTGATGATCCTTACAGGTCCTTTCCAATTTGGGATATTTTATGATTCTATGATGGTAGGATAAAATGGCTGTGTAGCCATATTTCTAGATTGCTGTAGATGCCATTTGGGAAATAAAGACAAGAAAACCCAACACAGCTGGAAACCTCCAGCTGCCCCAGTTACTGCTTCCCTCTGGTTCTTCAGGTCAGGCAGGCAGCCAGGGGCCAATGGCCCAGAGGAGGAGGAGAAGGCAAGAGGGCAGGGGCAGAAGGGAAGGCAAGGGCAGCGCTGGGCCCTTTGGTCGTATTTCTTTGTCTGTGTTAACTTTTGGAACCTTTGATCTCAGCCTGATCACTGTATATCTGTGATCTGTGGGCAGGTTGCCAGCGAAGCACTTAAAGAGAAATAAATGCGTTTCCTAACCCATGCTCACTGCGTTCCAATGGAGCACAGTGCACCAGGATGGGCTTGGTTCATTCAAGGGATACATAAAGTGTGAGGGCTGGTTTTGTGCATTTTGGTGAATTATAAGTATGTGGAGCAGCCAGGCCATCCTTTAAGATCGCAACAAGTCCAAGTTCACACTCAAGTTAGCAGCTCCTGCTAGTCTGTCCTGAGGCTATCAAAATGGCTTGTGTTTTGCCTTCATCAGCAGAGCCTTCAGAAGTGGCCATAAGAACAGACATGAATTATTCATACAGGCAGATCCCTTTCTCTATTTTTCTGGCTCCTCTCCCATCAAGAATGACAATTTAATAGTAACTATGTGAGAGTGGTAGACATGCCAGTGTCTTTTCTTTCATATGTTTAAAAACATCAACTCTCTTTTTTTTTTTTTTCCTTTAAAACATTCAAAAACCTCCAAGGTTTGTGCACTTCCTAAATTGCGTATAACGGATGCACTTTTGTCCCTTGCTGCTTGCAGGGATGACGTGCCAGGCCAGGACGTCCTACACTGAGGATGAGGTGCTGTGGGGCCATCGCTTCTTCCCGGTTATTTCCTTGGAAGAAGGGTTCTTCAAAGTCGACTACTCGCAGTTCCACGCGACGTTTGAGGTCCCCACGCCGCCGTACAGCGTGAAGGAGCAGGAGGAGATGCTGCTCATGTCCTCACCCCTGATAGCGCCCGCTGTCAGCAACAGCAAGGAGAGGAATAATTCAGTGGAGTGCCTGGATGGTCTGGATGAGGTTGGCATAAAACTACCTTCCAAACTGCAGAAAATAACTGGCAGGGACGACTTCCCTAAAAAACTCCTCAGGATGAGCTCCACCACCTCGGAGAAGGCCTACAGCATGGGCGATTTGCCCATGAAACTGCAGCGGATCAGCTCAGTCCCTGGGAATTCAGAAGAGAAACTGGTGTCCAAAGCCACCAAGATGATGTCGGATCCCATGAGCCAGTCTGTGGCTGACTTGCCGCCCAAGCTCCAGAAACTGTCGGGTGGCGGTCGGATGGAAGGGAACCTTCCTCCAAAACTGAGAAAAATGAATTCGGATCGCTTCACATAACCCAGCTACCAAGGCCGGACTGCCCCAGCAGGAGGATGGCCTTCCAGAGCTCCATGTGGCTCCGTGCCCTGTGCTGGCAGGGCTGTGGGTGCACCAGCAGGCTGCCCGGGGCCAGCAGAGCCGTCTGCCCCTGGCATGTAGAACCACGATGCGCATGCAATAATAGTGTGCAATTCCTGCATCTAATTTTCTGGCATGGCTCCTACTATATTTATACTGTATAGTCTGAAAAAATGCGTCCAGGGGTGTTGCATTCCCTGTGTATTTCTTAAGAGTCAGTAGCAGGTTGGGACATGTGAGTGGGTAACTGTCAGCATAGGTTATAATTTGAGTTCATTTTCTTTTTTTTTCCTGACGTGGGTTGTGATGTTGCACACTGGAACAAGTTGCCCAAGGAGGCTGTGGATGCCCCATCCCTGCAGGCATTCAAGGCCAGGCTGGATGTGGCTCTGGGCAGCCTGGGCTGCTGGTTGGTGACCTGCACACAGCAGGGGGTTGGAACTGGGTGAGCACTGTGGGCCTTTTCAAGCCAAGCTATTCTATGATTCTGTGTTTTGTTCAACAAAGTAGTTACAGTGCATGTGATTTTTATTTTATTTTTTTCTTCTCCTAAAAGGAATTGTATTCATTAATTCCTCACGCCAAACCTGCTGGCCTTAAACTAACTGTTGGTGTACATTTTGCGTTAAGTTATTCTTGGGTTTTCTTTTCCTGCCTCTAGACTGCTGGGAAAAAAAGTCAGTGTATTTAACAAGATGCTGTTGAGAAAAGAAGCTTCTATTGGTAAGGCTAGGAAAAACTATAAGGAAATTAGTGAAATTGGCCCTTTGGATAAAATTAGAAAAAAAAAATCAGAATCCTTCCATCATTTATCTCTGTACAGACAACAAGCTTGGTTTCTCAGGACAGCTGGACATGACAACAGTTATTATTCAGTTGTTTCTGAAGTCAGCCAGGCTTCTGCTGTGGATGCTCAGCCTCGGGAGCACAGCTGGGCTCCCCCTGAGCCCCTGTTGTGCTGGGGCTTTGCTCCCCCTTAATCTGAGGCCCCATCCTGCAAACCCAGGTCCCAGTGGTGGTTCTGTGAGCCCACATCTTGCAGCCAGAGCTGTGAGAGCTGCTGAGTCCCATGGTGCTGCTTTCTCTTTGGTGAGAATGTGTGCAAAGACGTTAACCAAGGTTGACCCTGTGGGTTTTGAAATGAGTAATACGTTGTGTAAATGTGTGGTTTGGTATCCTCCTGTGGCTCTGTGTGGTTTTGGGGTTTTAATCCTGTTTTACTCCCTCTCTGCTGCTGTGTCCCAACACCTGTGCTTAACCTTGCCTAACACCAGGCTGTTGCAGTGCCTGGGCTGTGCTGAAGGACCCAAAGCAGGGTGGCTGTTTTGGAGCTGGGCAGTGACAAGGCTCTCTGTCTTGCTTTAGTGGGCATTTTGGGTGAGACAGACCAATAGGCAGCACTGGCAGCATGGCGTCATGGTGTTGGAGGCAAAGCACAGCTGTGTGGTGTTGGAGATGTACAAGTGCAATGGCAGTTGTGTAGGGCAGTTCTGGCTTGAGAGCTCTGGGCCACTGGATGTGAATGCTCATGCTTGCTCAATAAGGATGGATCTGCTCTTCATTGGGAGACAATAGTTTGGTTCAGGTAGAAATGATGGCATGGGATGAGAAGTGACAAATGCAATATTGCTGGAAGGGTTGGCTGAGAGTCTACAAGGGCTCAGTGCTTGGCCTGGAAGTTGCCCAGTGCTCCATTAGCTGTGCACTCATGGACTTTATACTAACTAAAGGTTTTTTCCACTGTTTGTGATGATTTTTGAGTGGCACTGCATGCTTTTTACACCTTTGGCTGTACTGAAATACTTTGCCTGTTGTTGTTAAGGAGAACTGTGTGTGTAGCTCCCTGCACGCTGATGCTGTGCACTCAACAACTGATGAGCAGAATTCCAACGTTGCAAGGTAAGAGCTGAATGCTTTACCCCTATTTGCTAACACTTATTCAGGCCATGTTGTAGACATAGAGTTTTGTGCCATTTGTAACTCCTCCACAAGACCTTGGCCGAGTGAAAATGGCCACATACAAAGGTCAGGCATCAACATTAAATATGCCACCTCCAGTCCAAAGCAGAAAGCCGAGGACCCTGAACCAGTGTGATGGAGGCTGATGAGTCAGAGAACCATAGAATGGCTTAGGTTGGAGGGGACCTTAAAGATCACTCAGTCCCACCCTGTGCCATGGGCTGGCTGTCCCCCATCTGCTCAGACTGCCCAGAGCCCCAGGCCTTGGCATCTCCAGGGATCAGGCACCCATCGTGCTCAGGGCAGCCTACCTCCCTGCAGCCCCTCCTGACACAGCAGGCTTTGGGTCGGTCCCCTGCACCCAGGCCTCCATATGGACAGCCAGCATGCCTCCAAGAGCAATGGGGTGTCCCCATCCACGGCCATGTGCTGCACAAAATGAATGTAAGGGGCTGAGTGGGAGCGGTGGCAAGGTGCTGGGTGCCTGTGCACCAACACTGGGACAGCGCTCTCGTGTCTGTTGAACTAATGCCATATAAAATACTGAAAGTGACAGTTGATTCAATGTTTTAAATAATTCTCCTGTCCTTGTTGCACACAAGTTTTCTGAGGCTTGTGGCTTGTATTGCAATGTACGATGTATGTTAAGGCATCTTCTATTACTGAGAGTGAATGTAAAAACATGGATGGTTGGTAACTGTCTTTGGTTATTGGGTTCAGGAAGTTATTCCTGGTGAACATTTCATTGTTACTGATGTGGCCCCTTTTCTGTTTTTCCTGACTGTTTTCACCCAGCCCTAATGCTTGTGCTAAGAGAAGTGTAGCTGTTTGTTCGACTGCACAGCCGGTCTGTGTTCTCTACTGCTGAATTTATGCTTGAATTATATTGTAAATTGTACATATTCAAATTAGAATAAACTAAAAGCATTTTCTGGCATGCACTCTATAACTGTATAAATGTACAAGTTTATTTGAATAATGCAAAACAACAGACTCTTGTATTCATTAATACTGCAAGCTCAGTTTTATCTACAGCTGTATTAAACTTTCAGAATTGTTCAGTTTGGTGATGCTCTGGGTGTTTGTCTGTCAGCCAGTCCCCTTTTTATTACCTTCATGAAGGGCTGCGTGTCCTAGAGTGGCTGCTGTTATATTGGTATAGGGCATTTCTCTCCCCAGAACTCCATAGTGGCTGTCAGGTCCCTCCTTGCTCATAGCAGCCCTTCCTCTCTGCTTTCTTCTTTCTTAGCAGGAATTGCACAGTTACTGGGAGTCAGCCCTGCTGCTGGGGCTAGAAGTGCCACAATGGGGGAATTGAAGCTCTGTTTAGCATAATTGAATTACTGAGTGTGGCAGAACAAAAAGACATGGCAACACAGAGCTGTATCAATCACGCTGTGCCGCCAGACGCAGAATACATTTGAATTTATTTCCTCAGCTGTGTTGTAGAACAGCGAATTTGCATTGCTTACTGGGAGAAATGGAACTGGAATTGTTTAAATACTTGGAGTAAAGATGGCTGGGGAAGAAGGGCAAGAAAAAAAGAGAAGTGCCCCAGTGTAATAATAGCTTGAAACAAATTCATGCTCATCATGTGTTGGGGCAGAGAAGAAGAATTTGATTGCTTTTTGAATGAGACCTAAGGGCTTTCTTCTGCCTGCAGCAGCAAAGGAACTGCACCAGGGCAGGACTGTGGGGTGGCTGACAGCTGGAGCTCAACTGCATCCACAGTGTCCTTAAAGATGTTGGATGGCAGTGTTGCATTGCTCCTGAACGTGTGCGACCTGGAGACAGCCAGACTGGGAAAGAGATGGAGGATGGGGAAAGAGACAGGGATGGATACAGAGCCTATCATTTCTATCAGCCTAATTTCCATATGCCTCTAAGCACTGTTTAGCATGAATGCAGCACTGGTTTTGTTCACCTGTTTACGGCCCTCCCAAACACTCTCAGTACAGCAGAAATGCACTTGAGTTATTATTTCCAAAACAAACACTTGTGCCTCTTCCCCTGCAGGGTGTGGGCTGGGGATGCACAGATTCCCCCTCTTTCCTTCCAAGGGATACAGGATGCTAACAAGAGGAGGGCATCTCATGGCACTGAGATAAGCAGGTGTGGCATTTGTCTTTGCTCCAGCCCAAGCAGTCCTAGCCCACCAGGACCTGCCCTGCTCAGCCCAGTGCTGGGCATGAAAGCTGAGGAAGGGCTGAGGAGCAGCAGGAAAGTGAGGATGGGCTGAGCTGGTGGCTGCAAACTGTGTGCTCAGTGGAGCTGCCTTGGGTGTGTGCCCAGGTATGGCACCATTTGTGTAAGGAAATACATCTGTTCACATAATATATGTGCATAAATCCCCATGAGATGGCTGTGTATTTATAATACATAGCAAACAGCAAGATAGCTTTTTGCTACTTCAGATGTACTCCCCTTTTCCAATTGCTTATGTTTATTTCTGTCCAAAATGTTTGTGGTTTTTTCATAAGCAGCTTTTTGGGCACTGTCTGGACTCATTCCACACCAATGGCATGAGACAGTGCTCATGGCAGATGGATGAGCGTGCAGGGCTGAGGCAGCACAGAGCAGAGCAGCATTTCTGCTGAGTGAATAAGCAGGGAGCTCTGTCTCTTGGCATCCTGCAGCAGCTCCCTGGGAAGGTTCCAGCCGTCCCTTCCTTTGGCATTCTTGCAGCCCTCTGTCAGTAGCAGAGGAAATAAAAAACAAATGACACATCTCTCAAGGTGGGGGGAAAAAATACGCCCTAAGCTGGGATGTAATTGATGCTCTTAGTTTTATAGGGAGCACTTTTCTCTCAGCCCTTAACATCGCCAGTTAGGTGAGCAGTTACTGCTGTGCAGGCTGGTTTCCTTGCCTTATTGGCTCCCCGCATCACACCTACAAAGCCCAAGGCTGTCGGCCACTGGGTGATTGCTCACGGCCCCAGGTCACATTGTCACACATTCACAACAGCCTCAGTTGCCATTGTCACCAATTCAGAACATCCCCAATTTGGAATATGTTCAATTCACATCATCCCCAATTCATGCTGTCCTCAATTCACACCATCCCCAAGTTGCAGCATCCCCAGTCCACTTCCCATCATCCCAAACTCACCTTGCCACCAATACACAACATCCTCACTTCACATCATCTCCAATTCACGCTGTCCTCAATTTGTATCACCCCCAGTTCACACTGTCACCAATTGACAACATCCCCAATTCACGTCACCCCATGTTCTCATTGTTCCCCAATTCACAGTGTGAGAACGAATGATACAAAAATAGAAGATACCAATTGGAAATAATAGTGATAATTCATAACAAAGGTATTTAAGAAATTTGTGATGTTCACATTAAAGACTACAAAGCAAAGTATTTTGTTCTTTTTCAT